GTGGTAAGTAGGGGTGGACCCAAAATGCAGCCAACACTTGGGAGACGGTGCAGACAGGTTTATTAAACAAAAAAACTTAAAAAAACAAGCACAGGGAACCACAAGGAACAGCAGGCCAAAACACGAGAAGCACAGGGGATGACAACAGGCAACATGAACAGACTAAGGACAAACCGGACATGAACAGCTTGGGGATGAACCAGACATGAACAGGCAACGCGACCAGATGATGACAAACCCAGAGATAAACAGATGAACCGACCCAGACAAAGGGGAGCACAAAGACTATATAGACAAGGGAGGCAAGGGTGATTGAACACAGGTGAAACACATTAGGGCAGGGCAGACAATCACCACACAGAAAACAGGACCAAGACAGGAAGCAAAACACTGAGACACACAAGGAAACAAATTACAAAATAAAACCGGAAGTGCACGGGGAAACAGAGCACAAGACAGGGAAGACTAGACACTAGAAATACCCAAAACACAGAAAACTAAATCAAGAAAGTCCAAAAAAGTCCAAAAAACCAAAACCCTGGAGCCTCCAGGCTGAGACCATGACTATTGACACATACCTGGAGTCTCATTGGTTTCACGTTCAGTCTTTAAAATCTGCCAGGCCTGCAGTACAGAGCTGGATAAGGAAGTTAGTCCTGTGTAGTCCAGATCCTCTGACTGCATCAGGAAGAGTTGTTTTTCAAAGCCCAAGCAACCGGCTCTCCTCATGAGCAGTCGAGCCATTTCCAACCAGCTCGGACCATAGTCTGAAAGAGGCGATTTTAGACTGGATGTCTATAAGTCCCTGCCCCCCTTCAGGTACAGGCAGATAGAGGGTTGCTGCCTTGACCCAGTGTTTGCCGGAACAGAAAAACTCCAGGATGGCCCTCTAGATGTCCTCTATCAAACCTCTCGGAGGTGTCAAAGCTATAAGTCTGTCCCAGAGAGTCGAGGCGGCCAAACTATTTGCAACCAAAACTCTCCCCCTATACAACAACTAGGGTAGCAACCATTTCCACTTAGACAACCAAGCGCACACTTTCTCCTTAACTCCCTCCCAGTTCTTTAATTTAAAACCCTCAGTTCCCAAAAAAACTCCCAACACCCTCAGCCCCTCCCTCCCCCATTCAAGTCCTCCAGGCAGCCTCATCCCCCCATTGACCCAACAACAGTGCCTCACTCTTTGCCCAGTTCATCCATGCAGATGTTGCCTTCTCATACCAGGATAGGGTGTCCTGCAAACACTGAACATCCCCCTGACTGGACACAAAAAAAATTACATCGTCCACATAAGCAGAAAGGGTTGGGGAATGCTCAAGGCCACAGGACACAGGCAAAGACAACCCGCTGAGTCGGTCCCTCAACCTGCACAGTAGAGGCTCAAAAGCTAAACTATATAGCTATCTTACCCCGCGCCGTATACGGAGTGGCCGACTCAGTCCTCCCCTATCTTCACACTGTGCATTGTGGTCCAGCAGACCAAGCCAAGACACAAACCCATCACCAAAACCAAAAGCCCCGAGTGAAGAAAACATTAAGAATGATCCACCCTATCAAACGCTTTCTCTTGATCCAAGGAAATAATCCCAGTGTTTACATTATAACATTTACACACATCAATTACATCTCTTATGAGGAAAATGTTGTCCATAATTGTCCTGTCTGAAATACAATAGTTCTGATCTGTATGTATGATATTTCCAAGAACTTCCTTGAGTCTGTTCGATAAAGCTCTGGAGAGTATTTTGTAGTCTGTACACAGTAAGACAATTGGCCTCCAGTTCTTTAATAGTGCCAAATCACCTTTTTTTGGCAACAGGGAGAGAATTGCTCTTTGACAGGACACTGGGAGAGATCCTGTTCCGCAACACTCCATCAACACACCATGTAAGTCATGTCCCAGTGTATTCCAGAAACATTTAAAAAAGTCTGTGGACAATCCATCAATTCCTGGTGCTCGCCCTGATGCCATCTGTTATACAGCCATAGTTAACTCTTCAAGTGTCAGTTCACTATCAAGAGCAGCTTTTTCCTCCAGGCTTAGCTGAGGAAGACCCTCCAAGAGCTCCCCACGGCGCTCCATATCACAAGCTTCGGCTGCAAAAAGGTTTGAGTAAAAAGCTGCTGCGTAATTCCTCATCTCAGCTGGATTGGTGGTAATTCTACCTCCTGGCAACTTCAGACAAGTTATCATCCTTTGTGCCACCGATCTCTCCAGATAAAAGAAAAAAGAACTTGGGGCATCCATGTCTTTAAACTGGAGGAAGCTAGACCGGACAAGGGCTCCCTTCACTCTCTACTGCAGGAAAGAGCTCAGTTCTAATCTTTTCTCTTGCAGCAATGAACCAGCAGTGGTATTCGTGTTCCTATTCAGCCCTTCTTCAATGTTTTTAATTTCGGACTCAAGGTCTTTAATTGCTTTTTTTACCCTGGCAGAGGAGTGGGACGTGTACTGCTGACAGAAAACACGAATCTGGGCTTTGCCAACCTCCCACCACAACTTAAGGGAATCAAAATCAGCTTTTTTAATTTTCCATCTTTTCCAAAAGAATTCAAAACTTTGGCAGAAAGTTCTGTTTGCAGTAATTTATTGTTTAAATGCCAGCAGGACTTAACCCGTTCACCTGGCGAAATGACAAGTTCTGCTGTTACTAAGTGATGATCTGTGAAGCCAACTGGATATATATATCACACTGGAGCAATCTGGGACTGAGAGTTTTTGAAATGTAAAATCTGTCCAGTCTAGCATCACACACCTGGTTATTGCAGACCCTGACCCATGTGTACCGATTGGATTGTGGATGTTTTTCTCTGAAAATGTCTAACAGATCGAGGTGTGATATTACAGTATTAACCCATTTATTGCAACATTGCCCCTCCCACCGGTTGCTGCGCAGCGCAACATTGCCCCTCCCACTGGTTGCTGCGTAGCGCAGCATTGTTGATTGTTGATTTTCATGACGCATGCAGCATATAAATATGTAAAATATGTATAAATATATCATGAAAATGACGAGGAATCAACAATGCTGCGATACGCAGCAACCGGCGGGAGGGGCAATGTTGTGCTACGCAGCAACCGGCGGGAGGGGCAATGTTGCGCTGCGCAGCAACCGGCAGGAGGGGCAATGTTGCGCTGTGCAGCATCCGGTATGAATGGGTTAAGAGTCCTGGATGACTGTGGGGGGTTCTTCTCCTATCCTGTCTACATTAAAGTCTATGGTGCAGTTGAAATCACCACCAATAATGATGTGGTCTTGATGGTGGTTCAATAATTTATTTTTTAGAAGAGTGTAAAAACCTACTTTTTCTGCTCCGTTATTTGGGGCATAGATATTAACAAAACAGAAAACAGAGTTTTCTATTTCTGCCCGAACGATTAAAAAATGACCATTTACCACTTCAGTACAGGATAAAATGGTTGCATTTGCAGATTTTTTTTTAAAAAGAACGGCTACCCCTGCACTGAAGTTTGTTCCATGGCTAAGGTTATAAAAACCATCCCACCATAAACCCCAATCTGTCTCATCAGATGTATTTATGTGTGTTTCTTGTAAAAACAACACATCTATCCCTTTTTGATTTGAGACCTCCGCTATAAGTGCCCTTTTCTGCCTATCCCTCCCACCATTTATGTTTAAAGATCCTATCTAAAGTCTCTTCATAGAGAGGTCAGAAAAGAGAAAAGGACAAGTAGAAGCAGTGGAGAGAGAAAAACACCTTGTGAGGCATGATCATTTTTTACTTCTTTGTCTTTTTTGCAGTTTTACCTTTTCTCAGAGTGGTAATGTGCTTCTTGAGACGGAAACACTTCTTTTCGTCTAGGAGGTCAAAACCAACTTGTCTTTTTAGTACATTAATAGATCTAGTGAATTTTTCGGTGTAAGTTTCATCTAAAAAGAAATTAATTCTCTCCAGTGAATAAAGATCTGTACTCCTTTTAGAAGACTCAGCAAAAGACACATTATCTGACTCATAATCATCTTCCATTTCCTCTCCATCACATCAAGCCTCGCTGCTGCACAACCCCTGTCCCTCATTTATAGCCACCTTTTTGCAAGGAGGGCTTGAAGAAACTGCTTCTTCATTATTTCTAACCAACTGTGTTTGTCCATTGACTTGGAGCTACACAGATTTCTTGAAATCACATATTCCTCCTGCTCTACAGACTCTTCAACATTGTTGGTCCAAATGACACACTGCTATAGATTGCCACAATCCCGCCGGCCACAGATCCGAAACTGGCCGCGGCACCACAAAGTAACAGTTTTAAACCCACTCGCAAATTTCCCGAACCAACGGAGCTCGTTCTCCAACAGCTCATTAGGAATGAACGGCGGAACACCTGATACAGTGATCTGCGTGGAGGGAACCGACAGCGGGGAAACCTGCACAAATAGATCCCTAATGAACACGCCACTCTCTATCAGCTTGTAAACCAGTGGCTCACTCTTAAGGAACACAACCACAGCTTTGTTCATTCGAAATGCATAAACCAGATTGTCATGTCCTCCCTGCTCACCTGCAGCCAGCAGAACCTCCTCAACAGTAACAGTACCATCCGGAGGGACTATCTGCACTCCCTGTCGGATAGACGGAGGAGGCGTCTCGGAGGACGCCATTCCTCCTGAAATACCCGAGAGCAGCACCGATAATCACACCAACAACTCGACAGAAAATACTATTAAAGCAGCTTACCTGATCATGCAGTTAGAAACAGTGGAAGAACAGTTGAAAACCAGACACAAAAACCAATTCAAACTCCGCGCCACTCGCACGTCCACCACCGCCATTCACGCTCACATTCACCGGAAATGGAAGGAGAGGAGAGGAGAGGAGAGGAGAAGAGGGGAGAGAGGACAGGAGTAGAAAATAATGCATTCACGCCTCAAAAAAGTTTCCATTTTATTATATCATATTCTAAATTGCATCTATATGTGTGTGTGTGTGTGTGTGTGTGTGTGTGTGTGTGTGTGCTGCTCTCCTTTGCTGTTCTCCACCTTGACCTCGTAGTGTTTTAGTTTCCTCTTTATGCTGCTGTTCTCCCTCTCCAGACTGGCCAGCCGGGTCTTAATGTCATGATAGGCAGCGGCTAGTGCCAATCCTGAAGCTGGGTACATGTCCTCTGGCAGCTGATTGGCTGACCAGCTGATCCCGGGTACGCCCACATCATCTCTCAGCCCCTCTCCTCCTCCCAGCAGCCCCAGCTCTCCTCTGCCGAATAGATCCATCATCAGTTAGCTGTAGGAAAGGGAAAGAGTTCAAGTTGATCTCTGGAAAATGTAGTAAAAAAAACATGGACTGGACTTAGGTGACAGACAGACAGCTCAGTAAGTCACTTTGCACTCTCCACCTCACATAGCGGGGGCACTAATGGCAATAAATCTGCCAAGCCCCATGTTTTGGCAGAGATGATAGTGTGTGTGTGTGTGTGTGTGTGTGTGTGTGTGTGTGTGTGTGTGTGTATGTGTGTGTGTGTGTGTGTGTGTGTGTGTGTGTGTACTGCAGCCAGGAGCTCATTGAGCCTGCCAGCCAAAGGTTTGGTATTTCTCATCTGCTGTGAAATACTCCTGCCCCTGGCCTCTCTCTGGCAGCTTCCATGGTTACAGGGAAAAACTGATCCCCCACCACAAAAAATAGAGAGAACCAAACAGGACAGTGTGCGCAGTGCTGAGTTGGCCAAAGGAAAAGAGGATGTTGAGAACAGAGAGAGGAGCTTCACCAGGCAAGACACCTGACAGACTTACTCTCATCAGTCCCACAGTGACGAACATGGAGGCACAGTGTGTGTGTGCATGACAGTGTCCCAAACCTCTGCCCTGTGTCTGTCCTACCCTCTCTGCTCTGCAACCAGGATGACAACACCCTGGCACCTCCTAATATATCTACACCAGCCACCAACAGTCCACTCTGCCCATCTGAGCTTCCCTCAACTCAGTAAGCACAAGCAGTGGTCCTGTAGGCTGACTGCAATCCCTAGACACAAACAAGCTTTTTCCTGGTAAGAAAGTGCTATCTAAACACTGCATCACCATAGGCCAGGCAACAAAGCTGTTGAAAGAGGAGAACCTAAGAAGTCCTCAATACCTGGTGATCCTCACAAGAGGACACTGCTGAGGGAATGAAGAAGATGGCAGAGCAAGCCAGTACGGAGTTACCTGAGACCCGGATTGTGGAATCTACCATGCTGCCTAGGGCAGACACTCATTTCATCCATGACAATAATATGGAGATCAGATGAGGATGTGCCACCTTACCCAATGTCCACCTGGCCCTCCACCCAACCAATGGCACCTGGGACCTCTATGATGGAGTCCATCTAAAGAAAGAGGTTGTTTGCAAGAACCCTCAAAGACACAACCCTGGGACAGGATCTATCCACTCCTTCTTCTACTATGAGCTTTGGAGACCATCCCAAACCTCCTCCTCCTCCTCATCACCACCCCAGAATCATCCCCTGTGCTGTAAGGACACAATAACTCATCTTCCTCAAGCCCTGCCCACCCACAACCGTACAGCTATACAGCCATACAGCAGCACCTGCCCCTTGTACCCCTCCCCACCCACTGCTGCAGTTGTAGCAACGCCTACTGCCACAATTCCTCCCCTTGCTACATCTGAGCTGAAAGACTTTGGGAAAAAAAAGCTGCACACCCTGTGTAACCCGGCCTCTGTTCATCTTAGATATACATGCAGACCTCTTTCTCACTTAAGCAACAAGTGATCAAGCATGCAAGATAATCAGTAAAGACGTAAGAAAAATATCAAATGAAAAGCACAGCCAAATAGCCCAGTCATATGGATCAGGTACAATGAACTTTTAATCATTACTTTTATAAACATAAAAGTACAATTAAGTACAAAGAACAAAATTATACGTACATGAAACTTGAGGATATTGAGAGTGCTATGTAGAACAACTTCAACAAAGCAACCATAAGTGTTACTCATCCAAAATGATGACATTTGGACACACAATTTCATTTATTGTCTTGATTTTATGTCTTTTTTTTCAAAAGACATACCAAAATAAATCAAATTCCTTTAGATCGATATACATCATAAACAAAAAACTCAAAGCATTGGAAAACACACAACCCTCTTGATTTCCCAGTTACTTGGATAGGATTAACTACATAGATTAAATCTCTCTGACCAAGAGGCCTGTGGTCAAGACAGCATTGAAGATGAACTGCTCAAATACAGAACCCCAGAGATGCAGAGTCAAGTGCTGAATTTGTTCAATATGGTTTCGTGACATCTGGTACAAAGGGCTCATTTCAGTGACCAGTAACCCTAACCCTAACCCAGTGGGGGGACCCGAGTAAAAGACCCAAGTGTCAGCACTTGTTTCTGTAAATTATTATGTAGTATTCTAAACAAAACAATTCTAGATTGCTTGTGAACACGCCAGTAAAAATCAAATTGGCTTACTCCCAAAGCACCACACCACAGATCATGTATATACCTTTCACACTTGTATAAATGATGATAATATATCAACTGAATAAATTGATGGATTTGGAAAATAGGTGTGTTGTTAAAATTGGTGACAAACTGAATTCTTCATCCAGATAAGAGATGTTTGTCAGGGTCACTTCAATCAATAAAGACTCTGAATTTTTTGAGTGAGAAAAACTTTACTGCTTCACTGTCCTGTATATAACAGGAAAAGTGAAAGGTGACAGTCTCTTTGGTGATTAGGCCCCGATGTGATGTGTATTGGAGAGAGCAAGAGATGCTGTGATCAATGCAATTAGAGAAAATATAATTATGTTCCAATTCAAATTAAAATCTATCTTAAAATATTTGATAGTGTTATCTTGCCCATTGCAAGTTAGTTAAGTGTGGGGTCCATTCAGTCATCACAGCTATGCACATAAACACCCAACATAATCGCTACATGCAGAATTCTGCAGATACATTTTACACATACAAAGAAAAACATCAACAAATTCCTCTCGAGAAGAGATGAATGGTGAATACAGGTAACACACTTTAGCCTGGTAAAGGGAGTTTCCGTACATCATGGGTCCACCAGGAGATCACTCTTCCTTTCTGTCCCACCTCCCACTAGATTTGACCATCCAGGAATGCTGTCGCCTCCTAACTGCTCATAGAGGAGTCTCACTTCCGAATCACATTGTTTGTGGGGTCATCTCAGTGTACTTCTTTAAGCAAAGCTCCATATAGTCTGCCATGAGTCTGTTGCTGACCTGCGTCTTGATGAGCGGTTGTCTGCTCAGCGCATCTACAACAAGATTCCTGTGGCTTGGGATATACTGGATGCTAAAGTTATATGGTACCAACTTCAAAACCCACCACTGTTTACAAGCATCCAACTTTGGCTTCGTGAGGATGTAAGTCAGTGGGTTATTATCTGTCCAGACAGTCAAGGAGTGTCCTTTCAGCCAATGACTGAATTTATCACACACAGCGAGCAACTCGCTCTCAAATGGCCTGGGCTGGCACTTTGTCTGCGCACAAGTCAGGGATTTGCTTGTGAATGTGATGGGACATGTCTTGCTCCTTCCCTCTGGGACTTGAGAAAGCACCGTGCCCAATCCATTCAATGAGGCATCCGTTGAGATGTTGAATAGGGAACTGAATTCAGGATGAGCTAGAACTACAGAGTTCAGCAGAGCAGATTTCAGCTGGGTGAATACGTTACTCTGCTCCTGTCTCCAATTGCCTGGGCTGGGTCTCTTGAAGCATGTGGCACATCTTGCGTTACTCTTACCAGTTGCAGCAGAAGTCAGGAAGAAAGTCAGAGAAGATACATCTCACACTTCAAACTATGTGCTCGTGTCTGGCCATCAGTGTTACAGCCCAAGTGAGCTTCACAGTTCTGATGATGCCTGGGATCTTGTTGGGTTTACATCTTTTTATGAATGCTCTCTGGTAGATCTGAAGGGTGCATAACCCCACTTCTGAGAGCTGTGTCACTGAGACTAAGCTAGCTGTGAGAGGCCAGTAAATCCCTTCAAATTTTAGGGCTGCCTGCTTGTTTTTTGTTTCTACATGTGTTAATTACAAAATGTGACATGTGAATATGGTGGATATGGAGTTGTTTAAAGGCAATTTTGACAGAGTGGATAGCTGGTAAACAAAAGTAAACTAACGAGTAATGTTGTTTTGCTGCTGAGTGATTAGTCAAATAATGCAATTAGTTTTTCAACAAGAATGGCACTCAGTAGAGTGCATAACTCCACGTAGGCCAAACATTGCCTTCCACCAGATATGGATTATTAGCTAGATCTGCCCCAAATTGTACCAACTCATAGATCTCAACAAAATAGATTTTTTTACATCAAGATCCAAACATGATTTCCTGAAAAATTGACAAAAATGTTAAAAAAAAAAAGTTATCAAAAAAATTGAGACAAACAACAAACAAACGTGTGAAAACATAAGCTCTTTAATGAAGGCAATAAGTAATGTGTAAATAATTACTATTTTCAAGTAACTTGCCCATCAAAACCTTTAAAAGGTGTTTTGACTTAGAAAAACTCTCCCCTGGATCTTTTTAGACACAACACATATTTTGTCATTTAGGTCTGTGGACATGTTGGTGAATTTATGCTTAAATTTTGTGAAGATTTCTGCCCAGTGTGTTTGAAGCATTCTTACAGGCAGGTTGTCACAGTGCAGTGACTGAGGGCCAACTCCAGTTCTGAAAGTTATGAAGTTCACAGTTATGAAAACTGTACAATAAAATAGTACAGTAAAGGTGATACAACACTCTCTGTACACTATTACTCCTAAGGTCTGTGTGTGTGTGTGTATGTGTGCGTGTGTGTGTGTATATGTGTGTGTGTGTGGAGCCCAAAGACAGCTGCAGTAGCAGAGAGGAACACTTACTGCCCACAGATTCTGTATCTCTCTTTCTCTTTCTCTTTCTCTCTCTCTCTCTCTCTCTCTCTCTCTCACACACACACACACACACACACACACACACAGCCCACATGCTGCCTGTGTCTATCGTCTATCTGTCTCTTGCTCTACATCTCCTCTCAGTTTTCAACCCACTTCACTCAGCTCTATTGACTTTTTTTTGCACACACTCTGTGCCAACCAAGGGCTGATCATAGCAGGGCCATATGTTTTTATCACATGGTTGTTTAATTTATTAATGGACTAACTGTCTGCATTGCCCATAATCCCCTGCGGTCAAACACAAAACCCAGATTGCGTCATCATCAAAGTACATATACTTTGATAATTACATCCATGT